TGACAGGTCGAGAGGGGATGCTTACCTCTCCTGTTTCTTATGTTCACTTTTTATATAACATATGTGGGAAATTATTTAAAGGTATTCACGGTACATATATTAAGTAATCCTGATTTAAAATGAAGTTAACTTTACAATTTGATAAGGGAATATCTCCAATTTCACATACAATATCTAGAAGGTAATAAAAAGCCCAAGATCCGCGGAGAAATTGGGTTTTTTATCGACTTGCATTTCACAGCTCTTAAATTCCATTTTTTGGTAACATTATAGTAAATTTAGATTTATTTGGGGTAATTTAATTTCAAAATAAGGCATGTTTGATAGGAAAGTTTTGTGATAAATGTGAGTTTAAGTAGTACTGTAATAACGTTAATACATTCCTGCGTGATAATTTTATTTTGCGTGATTCCGCGAGACCATCTGCTGACGAAAATTTCATTCTCGTTTTTATTTGTATCGTGTATATTTGTATTATTGAACACTACGCTATGTAAATCAACTTCCAATATTCTTGATAATATTGTCTTGTTTATAAATACCAAATACACATGTGTCTATCTCCTGAAAAGCAGGTGTCGCGAAAATTAGCCATGTACAGTAATAACACTATGTACCGGTACTAACTGTGTTGGAGCTTCTGTTGTTGTTTTTTTTTTTAATTTTCCCTCAACAATTTTACATTTTCGCTAAAATTCAATACATGTATTTATTTTTTGAATATTTATACATTTTGCATACAGAACGTTGACTTTTGAAATTGTTCTGTAACGTTTATACAATTTTCTAGTACCAGAGAAGTACATCAAAATGATATCTTAAATCCTGTAGTGATTAACAAGTACCGGTAAGATACGCCGACAGAGAAGTCTGCACACCTAATCACTGCGGGCCCGTAGGAAGCAATTTCAGTTTGGGGGAACAACCATACATTTTATATTGGGGAGGGGGAGTACTATCAATTACTACCAAATATTCCTTGACAAGGAAAAAAGGTCATCAGACGCTATTATTGCCGGGGCACAAGCGTTTTCTATAGTATTCTATATATCGGCAAAATTATTGGGGGGGGGGGGGGGGGGGGCATGGTTCCTATGGCCATGCACTGCCACAAAAACCAAGCGAAAAATCTGCATTGGATTTAGCAAATTGTGCTAATGAGCAGATTTGTTTTTGTACATTGACAATCTGCAGATTAAAAAAAAAAAACTTCCGAGATTGAAAATATATTTTTCTTTTAAAATGTTTTTACGTTATATTTTATCAAAACCAAACTCAAAACTTTACCGTGCTATTATTGTTAGACACTCCCTCCCTTCTTTTATTCATTGCAACGCAGTTCATTAATTCGAGCTTGATGAAACAGGTTACATCTGGAAATATATTTAGTTTATTGAATCTTTCTTAGTTCATTCATTCATGTATGCAGATTGAATGTTGACTACTAGTATGTTTTGTATTTAATAAAACCCCTTTTTCTAAATTTTACGTCCACGTGTAAGGTTTGTATTCAATTGAAGCGGGGAATATGCACCATAAAGATTTTGAGGAAAAAAAGAATGTTTTGTTATGATCTCGAATACAATTTATAACCAAATTAAATAACTTTAAGGGATAAGGGGACGACCATTGTATTCTTAGGGGAAGGGGTTTGCCATGCAAAAATGTGCATTCTCTCTCTCTCTCAATATGCGATTATGTATCTTGTCATTTCTCACGAGGAAATTTGTGAGTTTATCCAGATGTTAATCGATGTACTATATGTTTTTCCTTGTGCCCAACACAGAATACATATATCTTCTGTAAACCATATAAAGGTATGTATCCATAGTGTTTTATACAAGAACAAAAAATACTATCTTTCTTAATTCAAATCAAGAATATAGTTTTCCTTGTTATATATTCTAAATAAGTTTAAAAGATGTACATGTAGAATGAAGTATAATACATGCATGTACATCCTTACTTTCATTATCTTATTTAAATACATTACGCAACAGTAAAGGATAATGTAAGTCCACGTTATTGCCTTGTTTTGGCTAATAATTAACATTCTATTTTTCTTGATGATTCATACTTGTATCAATATTACTACTTCATACTGCCATGGACACGAATTTCTTTAGCTATAATTTCATTTCCTTGCTCCTGTATAATATACCGGGGACTCAGACGTGCGGAGAGTAAGCACAACATTGTTATCTATTCCCGAAATAGACCTCATTTAAAAAGGTCAAAGTCGAGATGTCCTCTTTCCATGAAAAAAGCTACTGAGACATACTTGATAAACTGTTTTCTACGAAGCGAGACACAAATAGATACATGTACCTGAAATTTTTTCATGATTTTCTATCAATATACGAGTAATGATATAATATGGCATGTCAAACGTTGCAATATTCGATCTTTTGCATTTGCATTGTATAATTTTCCATTTGCATTGTATAATTTTTATTTGTATTGTATAATTTTCTATTTGTATTGTATAATTTTTCATTTGTATTGTAAAATTTTTATTTGTATTCCATAATTTTCTATTTGTATTGTATAATTTTCATTTGTATTGTATAATTTTCCATTTGCATTGTATAATTTCTTATTTGTATTGTAAAATTTCTTATTTGTATGCGATAATTTTTCATTTGTATTGTATCCGCGGATTGTTTATTTGTTTCGTTACGAAGGATTTCATTGGTCAAGTTTCAGCCTGTATCGGGTTGAAGATGTTCCGGATGCTCAAAGCAAACTGGGCTCATATGTATTTGCTTGCTTGCTTGATTGATTATTGTTTAACGCCGAGTCGGCAATATTTCAGCCATATTTCGGCGGCATATGTATTTGCGTGCATGTTAGACGGTCATTGGATTCTAAAAAGGGAGCGCTGGTAGATGGCAAATAAATAATCTGTCCTTAGGAATGCTGACTGAGAAAATAAATAAATTGACCTTGAGTGGTGGTAACTACCCCCACCCCCAAAAAACTGAGTTTTCGGGTTTGGGCGGATTTTCTTCTTTTTGTTTTTCTCCTTGTCTCTGGTCATATTGGAAATAAATATTCTCTCCTGCGAGAGAATGAAAATGAATAATCGGATTCGACACCCCCCGAGAATCAAATGGTCGTCCCTTAGCATGCACCGCAAATAGAGGAGCCGAGTTTGTGTTTGTAGAGAGTGCGCGATCGGAATTGTGGGAAGGGTACCAGACTAAGTTTGTGATGGGCACCTGAGACCTTTATAAATACAGACTAAATTTTATGACCAATGACATCCTTCGTAACGAAATAAATAAACAATCCTCGGATACAATACAAATGAAAAATTATCGCATACAAATAAGAAATTATACAATACAAATAAGAAATTATACAATGCAAATGGAAAATATAGAATACAAATGAAAAATTATACAATACAAATGATTTTTTTTACAACACAAATGGAAAATATAGAATACAAATAAACATTATACAATCCAAATGGAAAATTATAAAATCCAAATGGAAAATTATAGAATACAAATAAAAATTATACAATACAAATTGAAAATTATACAATACAAATGAAAAATTATACAATACAAATGAAAAATTATACAATACAAATAAAAATTATACAATACAAATGGAAAGTTATACAATACAAATGGAAAAGATCGAATATTGCAACGTTTGACATGCCATAATATAAGAAGCGAAAAATGTTTGGCTGTAAATTTATCCTTAGTTATTAGTTAAAATTATCCCTAGAAAACACAATCAGAGGACTCAATAATTTGAATATAAAAGGAGAGTGATATAAGGCGCGGATCCAGGAATTTTTTTTCCGGGGGGGGGGGGGGGTCAACCCAGTCCAAAAAAATTTTCTACCCAGAAATTTCTTGACAAGCAGAAAAAAAAACCTAAATTCCCTTCTCTAACGTATTAAACCAAGAAAAAACAACAACAACAAAAAAACAAAAACAAAAACAACAACAACAACAACAAAAACGTAAAATCCATTACCCATAGGTGAAAAACCCTATTTCATGGTGATGATAGTGGGGTCCACGTTTTCTAGGGGGGGGGGGGGCATTTTTTATTTGCTTCAGTATATACTTTTAGTAACTCTGCAAATTCAAGGGGGATCCGGACCCCCCCCCCCCCCACCCCCTTCTAGATCCGCGCATGGATGTGTCATTAGTTAAGTAGATTTACATACAAGTAGGAAGCGAGATCAGCTGACCCGTAGTTGATGTTGTTGTACGATTCCAGTCACCAGTTGTTAATACATGATTTATTTCCTTGTCCAAACTTAAAGAGGCGAGCTGGGAAAATTAAACCTGTTAATTGTTCATTTTAAAAGAAATGAAGATTTCTTTGTTGATCATTATTTCTTTAGTAAGATATCTGGAAGGTTGCCGAAAGTAAGTAAACAACAAATATATGTATAATCTTCATAAAAAATGTGAGTCACTTATTTTGAAAGTGTTGCTTAGACCTCTATGCAGATGAATATTTTTATATGGGATAAATTTGTAAGTATAATAACAATTTTCTAAGGCAGAAACTAATGTTTGCAACAATGATAACATATTGTCAGCAAAGCCATCTGTCAAAATCTTGCAATCTAAATTTGCATGTTGATAATGCACTCTAGAAGTAAACCTTTATGGACTTCTTTTTTTGGCCGTGGCTAGGTCCGGGGATTCATCGTCCACAACACAATGCTGTCCTGAGTATTATCTTAAAAATGGAGTATGCGTGGGTAAGTTAAACATGAATATATGTTCTGTTTTACTGGATGCTGTCAGATATTTCATATGTATCGTATATACTCGCCTATAAGTCGGTTGTATTTTTTAAGTTAAGGGATTGACCTGTTGAAATACCAGTCTTTTTATGACTCGCGTATAAGTCGGATAAAGAGTTTTGGACCAAAGTTTAATTCCCAAAAACTGATTTATAGGCGAGTATATATACGGTAGGCTAGCATTCTTCAAACCCATTTTGCAGATTGTCCAGCTGGAAAGTTTGGACCCAGTTGTAAGTTGAACTGTGAATATCCAAATTATGGAAAACGGTGTCTTGAAGGATACTGTAACTGTTCAAGAGATGCATGTGATCCGGCAATTGGATGCAGAGAAGTAACAACTTGTACGAGTTATATTTTGTCATTTTACATTAAAACTGGGACATGAATTTTTCGTTCCTTTTATGCAAAATTCTTTATATACATATAAGAAAATTTTATAGTATGAGTAATGGGTAAATACAAATTCATTATAAGCGATATTTCCTTAAAAGTTAATTTAAATATATATGCATGATTTACCAAAAGAAACGTTTTAATAAAGACAAGCAGTATCTATATATGTGCTTAATTGTTGTATCTTTTTAAAGCTGTACAGAAAACTAGTCCACAAGACTCTGCATCACTTACCTCATCATCAAGGAAAGTAACAACAAAATCAGTAACTATTATAACTATGGTGTACAAAAATGACGACCAGTCAACGAGGTATGGTATATGGAATGACAGAAACAAATCGAAGAGGTTTGTAACAAGCAAAAAGAAAATGGACTCAGAAGTTATCAAAGACACACAGAAGGCTGAAGATTCCCAAGACATTTCTCTGAACATCATTATCATGTCTGTCATCGGTGGGTTAGTCATACTGTTGCTCATCATTGTGATCATTGCACTGATAAGAGGAAAACGGAAAGTAAAGGTTGAGAAACGAGATTCTATAGTGAGCAGTAGAGGAAATGACAATACCTACTGCGAAATAAACGATTTAAGAATTCCTTCCACGTCACAAGATTGCAGAAGGAGCGATATGGGAAAATATGAACTAATTGACCAGTCAGAAGAGGATAGGAAAAGATATCCCTCACTCCCAATGAATTGCAGGTCAGCCAATAATAGGAAAAGTGACGTAAGAAAGTATGAACTAATCAAGCACTCGGATAAGGAAAGAACGAAATATTCTACTCTGCCCCCCAAAAGCATGTCTGCATCAAACAGAGATAGTTATATAACCCCAGTGCCTGTCGCAATTGAAATTACAGAAACCGTTGAAGAGGACTTTCCAATATTTGAAGAAACAAAACAGGGAGTTTCAGAATCCCCTGTCTTGTTAAGAAAGGCTAGCAATAACCGTAATCCCAATCTGTTAGCTGTTTCAGATCCCTTTGCAGCATCCAAAAATGTTAGTGGGTACATTGACATGAACAAAGGTGGATGTTCCGATGGAGGATCAACTAAACTGTAAAACTCTGATTCATGCAAATATGAAGAAAAACATTTATTGAATGAAATGTACAAATGATAAGCTTAAACACAACCTTTGTTTCAATTTGTTCCTTTTAAATGATGTTATATAGTGATGTTTCATATCTACCACAAAGTATGGCGACACTCATGCATCAACTTTAACTTAGTTAATCTGTCTTTTTTTCCATAGTTATGTTTATATATCTATAAGATCAAATTCAAAATCTTTTGAATAATTTTGAAAAGTAGTACCATGTTTTTCAGTATATTACTTTTGCTATGTTAGACAGTCAAAGATGATCGAAGCTTGAATAATTAGCATGTGTTAAATCTATATGTTGCGTGTATATCACCCCTCAGAGAATACCGTTGTGATTATTACATTAAAACATGTTTATGTGTCGTTTATTACCCATGATTTCTTTCCCTAAAAGTAATCAGACACTGAATTCACATTAAAACCAACTACTAGTATCCCAAGGTAATTCTGTACTTTGGTCATTCCTTCATTTTACTATCGCAACCCACATCTATCATTAGAATGTCGAATACATGTAATACCCGCACTTTTTAGAGAAAGTATTCGGGTAAATAATTCTCCCTGTCTGCTCTTCACATTTTATTGCCTTAGCAAATCCTTCTAGAAAAGAGGTAACAATATTCTTTTTGCTAATAATTATAAACGTCATACAGATTTGCAGAGAGTTTGGTGAATTTAAATTTCAGCCAAGTGTTTTGTGCTTACCGGTGTAAAGACGAATAATGACCACCGTAGTATAATAACCTGGAGTCACGTATTCAATTGGTGTTATCACCAATTCGAATTCGTGATATCACCTATTCAGCTTTTAAATTGGTGATATCCCCTATTTGAATAGGTGATATCACCTATTCAAATCAAGTATGAAATAACAACTGCTCCTAAGACTATAGTACATACTTTTACTCCATGCAGGAAGTAAAAAGTTCAGTCTTTTTCCACACAGATATATTATGACAGAAAGAATGTACCAATAAATATAGCAGAACTGACTGCAAGTGAAATTTATAATAACTTCACAGGAATTGAAAACAAATGGTGTTTTAAATGGGAGCATTCATTTTTTAATGTTATAAGAAATGCAAAGTAGGTGATATCACTAATTCAAATTGGTGATATCACCAATTTGAAAATATGATATCAACAATTCGAATAAATAGGTGATATTACCTTTCAACTCAAAGTGTTACTCAGAAAAAAAAAGCAAGAAAATTACCCGTTGAGATCCAAACCTTAGCATCAATCATCTCTTTTGAACTTTGTATCACTCTGTTGGGATGGGGATCATTTTTCAACGGGGGTCAATTTCTTATAGGTTGCACATATAGAAAACTATGGAAAGCCAACGGGTTCGAAATTCTAACTCTGTAATTCACAAAATGTACACAATTCAACCATAATTAGTAGAATGTAAATCATAATTTTATAATTTGTCAATTGTTCAATCACAATTTGTTAATTGTAACTTATCCAACATAACTTGAAAAGTGTAAGATGTAAATGCAAGTTATGTCAATGATCACGTGTAATTCGTAAACTTGCGATTTGTCAACTTGTGAAATGTAAATATTGTACTTTCGTGATTTGTAAATTATGCAAGGTTGCATATTGAGACGAAAGAGGGCGCTATAAGCGTGGCAAGTTATTTCGCCTCAAAGATATAAAAGATCCTTAACCAACTGAGTTTTGTAATATGCATGCATATTATGCCTTTAAACGGTCTCTTAAGCTGTTTACAAATAAGATAGGTTAATACAGAAAAAGAACGGGGTATTCCTATATCTAAACACACAAAGCTTCGCTCTTTGTAAATACAGAGGGCAGGCGCGGATCTCGGAATTTTTTTTTCCAAAGGGGGCGGGGTTCACCCCAGTCAAAAAATTCCAATCCAGAAATTCTTTGACAGGCAAAAAAAAAGAAACCTATTTCCTGCGCACGGAGAGGTGCCGAGGGAATAGAACCCGAAAGCTTTTTCAGTTTTATAAAGTAGCGTAAAGACCAGGCACGTAGTATCGGAGGGGGGCTCCCCCTTCCCGCTTTTTCTCGAACATAATTTTTTACTGTTAATTTAGTACCAAAATCCATCATATTTATGGATCGAAAAATTGACTTGTGAAAAAGTAAGAGCCATACCCCCTCCGGGTTTTTCAGATGAAAGTGTCAATTATTTTTCTGAGTGCCTCTTTCAAAAACGGTGCTACATGCATGAAGACTAGATTTTTTCCCCCATGGTCTTTTATTGTGATCGTTGGGAGGCAAGGACGCCTTTTTTCTGAATTTCATTTTGTCTCAATAGGGATGCATGGAATAAACTATATGTGCCAATGAAAACCAACAAAAAATGCTTCATAAACTTCTGGGATGTGTTTGCCTCTATATATGTAGAATCATCTGATTAATGTATACAAACTCAATGAGGGGTTCAAAGAGGAGGACCCCCCCCCCCCTTCCTAGTCGTGTGTTAGTCTTAAATCTGACGAAATATTATAAAATGTATTAATGATTATTTATAAGCGCAAAAATAGTCATCTGTTTTGAAGAAAAAAGATATAAAAAACACTTAACACATGATCACTTAAAATAATTTTTAATTTAAATTTTCCGTATAAATTATACAAACTAATGTGTACTTTACAAAGACATGAATGTGTCTGTCAATACATTTTCAAGTTCCAGGACATTTTCTAAATGAGGGGGGAGGTTCATGTCCACTAAAAAAAGTCATCCAAACGCAAAATACCTATTTTTCGTGTGTGTGTGTGTGTGTGTGTGTGTGTGTGTAAGGGGGGGGGGGGAGTATTAATGGACATTTCTCGTTGATAAGCTGTTTCAAATATTTATATGACACTTCTACTTATTTACGAGAGGTCCATAACTCCTGAAAGGGGAGTCCAAGGTTATTTCTTGATTGTTTTACTGTGTAAAATTCATATTTGAAAATCTGAGGGGGTCCAGACCTCTCCCCCCCCCTCCTGCGGAATCTGCCAGTAACACTGCAGAAAAGACTTTTAAAATTGTCTAAATCGAAAATTATTCAGGATTGTTGGAAGTTTTTACTAGAATATACCCCTGCTAATATGACATGAAATTAATCTTTAAACATTCCATCAGCCTTTCTTTATATTTGTTATTGTAGGACGAATTGGGGAAATGATTAAATTGTTAAGCAACGAATTAACTTGCCACCCTTATAGCGCCCCCTTTCGTCTTATAATACATGTATGCAATACATTGTTTTGCTGAAGTCAATTTTACACCCATTCTTACAGTATTTGCTCCGCCTTTCACGCATATTTATCAACCTTTTTTTAATCTTCAATCAAAGACATGTAAATGTCAATTATCAAAATTCGCAAATCATTAAGGGCAAAATAAAACTTATAATTTTTTTTTTTAATTTTATCAGACTTAAACCATTTTGGCTATCAAATTCGACTTCAAGATGACTGAATTCTTTGACAAATTAATACTATCATTCCAATAACAGCATGTCGCCGTGCTAAATCAAACTTGTTGCTTTGATTAAAATAAATCTCATCGATTGGCTGTTTGGTTTAATTCATTGAATCCTAATTTGCATATTAAAGACAGGACCACCAATACTCTCGACAGTACTAACCAATCACATTGAATAAATATGTACAAATATACTCCAACGGCATTTGCAGTAAAAACTAATTGTAGTAAAAAGTAACACGTCGTGTCTTTTTTTTTTTTTTTGTATTTGTTTTGTTTTGTTTTGTTTTGTTTGTTTTTTTTTTTTTTTTGCTTTTTGTTGTTTGTTTGTTTGTTTTTTGTTTCTGTTTTGTTTTTGTATTTTTCTTTCTATAATCTGGTATTACTGTATGATTGCATATGTGAAAATGGAAGGTAAACAGGGAATAAAATATTAAATGGAATACCAAGTCTAGAAATTGTTTATTCGGCATTTGAAAAATAAGAACTAAACATCTATATACTCCGTTGCCCGGAAAAATGACAATGTGTCGTGAACAGTGATTTCATTAAAGGTGCATAAAGCAACTTTGATATTTTGTGATAAAAGTGAGACATATTTTTCTGATTTCAATAATATTTTTACTTTTATGAAGCACAATTTGGCTGGATTCAAGTCGAGTGAATATGTAGAGAGAAATAAAAGTATATGTTTTGAACACCACTAGTTGGTAGCCAGTTCCAGAGAACCGCCTCAGACATATTATGATGGGTGGGTGCATTATTCATTATATGGCTATCACCTCGTTGAAGTACTTTTAAATTTTGAAACAACAACACAGAGGGTTCCTTTTTATGAGTGGCGATATACTCTTTTTCCATTAAAAAAAAATTAAAAAAAAAAAAAAAAAAAAAAAAAAAAACGAATCCCATTTTATCCATAAATGAAATCTGAGTGTAGATGAGTCTTTATTATTGACATGTTGTAGAAATAGTTGAGTGTCCTGTAAATTTGGTAGAGTAAATATGCTAATGTGAGACACTGTGACACGTTTCAGAGTCATACTCAGATCTTTGTCGGTAATATTTGACTCGGCCTGTAAACTAATATTTTGAAGAGTGTTAGAGTATTGTAAAATATTATCTTTTATTAACTTGAGTGACATTGTTGGGTTAATTGTTTTCAACAAAGCAACATTATTATGCGCGATTTTACATGTAAATCGGCCTACTCAAAAAACAAAAAGTTGTCTATAGCAGACCAATTTAATTTTGGTCTGTTTAATCATGACTTAAAACTCGACTCTGTTTTTGAAAATTTCACACAAAAAGTGACATTTGCGTAGTTTTTGAGACCAGGGTAACAGGAAAGATAACTCTAAAAGGAAACTTTGATACCAAAGATTTTGAAAATAATTTTTCTAAATCAATTAGTTTCATTTTAATTCATTTTTTTGTTATAATTTAAGTGTATTCAATGTATAATGAAGGGGTACTGAACGATTTTGAATCATTTTAAACTA